GTAATCGAGCTCGACTTGTAGTTATCGAGCTCGATTATAAAACGTGGTTTGCTCATCGAGCAGGAATGGTAATCGAGTACGGCAAATGCATATCGAGCTCGGTTGCCCAGGAACAAAATGTGATCCGAAAGAGCTTCTAAATCATGGTATCATTACATTTTTTAATTGTGCGAAATAATAATATCAATAATTTTGATAACAATGATAATAATAGTAATCATCATCATCATCATAATAATAATGATGTAATCCTCACGATGCTTAGAGACTCTTTACCTTCTCCCAGATGTTTCTTTCGCCATAGCAATATGACTACAACAAAAATGATCAACACTTTGAAGAGCACTACGCCTAAAGAGGCGGCTGCTATCGTTACTGTAGGAGAAGGACTGCTTTTGTCATCCATGAGGACTTCGTCTGTTGATTTTGGCGGGGTAGGGGTGAAGACATTTGTTGAAGACCCTGGATTTAATGCATCAATACTTTAAAATTTTTGTTAGCTTTGAAAGGTTGTTAACACTGAATTCTTTACCACCTGTCCAGCCTTCAAGCTTAAAAATGAACATTAAACATAAAAAAATGACCAGAGAAAACCACTATAAATCAAAGAAATGTATTTTGCTCTGATAAAAAATAAACGAACAAAAACAAATTGAAACAAAACAACTTCTACTGCTTTATGAAAAATGCTCTTTTACATATGCTTAGATTTACCTGATTCATCAGTGATATATTGTTCAGTTGACGTATTCCCTCGCGGTGTAGTAACAGCTTTTGTTCCAGGAGGATTGGTGATATCTTGTTCAGTTGACATCTTCCCTCACGTAGTAACAGCTTTTGTTCCAGGAGGATTGGTGATATCTTGTTCACTTGACGTCTTCCCTCGTGTAGAAGCAGCTTTTGTTCCAGGCAGACTGCTACTTGTCGGAACAGCGTGCGAGAAACAGTCTCCTCGACAATTGTCTGTTGAAGGAACATTACAACTAACATGGTCACTAGCTAGAAATTTGTGGATTACATTATCTTAGGGGCTTTCCCAAGAATTCATTTATAAAGTTTTCTCAAAGTCGCTGGGATTGCGACATCTGTGGTACAAATCAATACCTGTTTCTTCCTCGCAAATCCAACCTCTTTGTATGACACCTTTTATGGTACTAAAAGATCCTTTGAATCCAACTGGAAATTCTTTATGAATCAGCCCATAAAGGTCGTTCGGTTCAGGATTTGAGCTCTGCCATTTGTCAATACTCAGAGGTTTACCATTGATCCAAGTCCATTTCTCTGTTGTGAAATTTTGCTCCAAGCCTATGAACCATTCACCATATTTGCTGCCTACCCGGTCTTGAATCGCATTTTTGATAAATTCCCATTCCTGCTCTGTTTCCATCACCACAAGGATTTTGCTGTGATGTTCACAGCTACCCATTGCCTGTGGCCACTTATTACCATTTGTCTAGTTATTAAAGCTATAACACGAACAAAGCCTCTCTCCATCTAGAATGAAAGAAATTGCAAATAATTTGTCTTAAGCTCTTCTAATAATCAACAACAAAATGAGCGTGTAAGTAAGCATGCTTTACTGAGTTAACTTTTTGGTGATAAAACTTACTGCAAGTTTTGATGAAGCTAAGGCTTACAAACAATTGCTTGACAGCTAGTTGGGCAGAGGATGATCACCATCACCATCATTATTGTTATTATTATCCTCATCACCATCATCGTTCATCCACTAATCAATAAGGTAATTACCTATTCAAATAAGATTTTTTTTTATTTATATATCTATCATTTCGTTATTCATTAGCCGTTTAAAACGATGCCGAAAGAGGACTACTTAAAAACTTGGTTATTTAGAGAGAAGAGCAAAAAAAAAAAAATGCGGCAATAGTTCAACCTCGCTCCGTACCATCTTTAGATAAATATCAGTAAACATCCGCTAGGAATGCAGGCGCTTCGTCACACATTGCTTGCTGCATTCATTTAAATGTGACGTTAATTTGTCACGCCAGGTAAAAGAACGATTGTTTATCAATATTTTTTAACTAATTAAGCGAGCTTTTGTGAAGTACATGAGACATACAGCTTCACGCTAAATAAAAGCTGGTCAAGGTTGCAGGATGATTTGACAAGGCTAGAGAAGACCGCGGAGACTAAAGCTGCTGCTAAAGGCGCTCAAACAAAACGACCGTTTTAAGGAATCATCGGAAAAGCAGAAGTTCAGTGGAAACGACCTAGTTCTCGAAAGGGAAAATTAAATTCAAACAACATGGCAGTCCACGCGTGAAGGAGAAACGAAGCTGGAGTAACTTGGCGGTGATCATTCAATAATGACATTTAGTAAGTTATTCAATTTGCGTGTCTGGTGTCTTTGATAGATATAACAGTTGTCTAAATGATTACAAATACGCCCATACAAAATTAACCACAACCCTTTTACCAACTTAATAATGATGAACTTCGTGAAATTTGTAAACACTCATTAATACCTATAATTACTCATTAATGCCTATATAAGGAGGTAATTTTTTTCATAAAATTCGCAGTTTAAAGCCTTGGATAAGTCTATGGACATCACACTTGGTCAATGGTCTATTTGTCGCGCCAGGCTTACCTGCAATCGTTTCTCGACATGTCAAAAGCATTTAAATCGAGCCGTACCGATGAAAATGAAACATACAGCTTCAAAGCGGAAACTAAATAAGAGCTGTTCCAGTTTGCAGTATGATTTGACAATTTCAAATTTAAATCAGACACGTTACCTTCGATCAATAATACATGTATTTCCCTAATGAAAACCCTACTTCCTCTTCAATCCAATCGACAATCCTCTCACAGCTTGTGGCGTGTTTCGGTAAACTTCTTGAAAAATCTTCTTTCCAAGAGTCAAAATACGTCTTACCAATATTTGTTTTCATAAGAAAGTCATCTTTATAGTAAAATTCGCAATTTACGCGACGGATACGTTAGATATTAGATAAGATGTAAGAGCATCACTACAATAAACACGAACAAAACTCATGAAGTAATTAACATCTTCAATTCCTTCCCGACTTACAAGTCCTCGACAGTAACAATACAAATCCAAGCACTATCATTGCATACATCTTCGCTAAATTCATTGTCTAGGCCTATGTTTTGGATGAGAATGTTTGAAACGCCACGAGGACGAAAGTTACGCTTGGAAGACCAATTAAGATATGGTCGCAATTTTCGGTTTCACTCAATGTGTGACGAGGAATTAGCCGAAGTTTAGTGAGAGATCACGCTTCAAGAAAGCTGTAAAAATAGATTGATAACAAGCTGATTTCAATCAAGAACAAGTTTATGGAATGGAGAAATTAAGAATGAGAAAAACTATATAAACTCTTACTATCAGCCTCCCTTTTGGCTTTACGTAATAAAAGAAGACGGAAAGTGTAAAGCTGGGGTTTATTGTGTTGGATATTTTTTTGGGAAGTTCTCGCCGGAAAGCTTTGCCGGCGGGATTGAGGTCGTCAGGGTCAGCGATCGTCTACGAAACTTAACGCCACAATAAAAGGAAAAAGTCTTGCTTGTGTCTATTTTTCAGCTATGAGCTTAGGTACATATTGTCTGAGGCCTTTTGGATAACTTTGTTAGGATGCATTTTGAACCGATGAGATAGTCGCCCGAATAATACCACTGGATTATTCTAGATCTTTTATTCCATAATTTGCACGTATTTACTTAATCACTTATATGAATTTGATAAGCCAGGTCACAAATTTGATAAACAAGGTTACAAATACATATTATATCTAAGTGATGTGTTTATCTTTTAATTCATTTTAAGTAGTTTTATCGAACACTCAGCATGGATCCTGCATTAATTAAAATGCAATCACAGCTATATTGAATTTTCCAAAAAACATGTCATCTCTAAAATATTTTTCCATCTTTTAATTAGCAGCTGTACAGGAATTATATTCCATATTTCAATTTCCCGTATTCTTGAAACCCAATTACGACAGCCTATATTTTCATTTTTCAATGACAATTTTTTTAAGCCCAAAAGAGCTGGCATATCAAATCGTATTCATTCAATAGTCTAAAGTTATTACGGCACGACAGTCCGACAGTCCGCAATCAGACAGAGCGTCCTTCAAACACTAGATAGACTGAGCGTAAGATTGATACAGAGATGTTAAAATAGCGCATCCACCGATCATAAAAAGGAGGATTAGCCAGGTATCCCACAATTCCACGCTTCAAACTATATTTAAGAATTGTTTCATGCTTAGCGTGCGTCTATCGAGTTATGAATGCACGGGGGGAGTTTGGAGAGCACGAGAGAAGCGTAAGAGTTGCTCGAGGCGCAGCTGAGAGCATCTCTAGCTTCTTGAGTGCTCTCCAAACTT